AGCCACATTGAAGCATTCCACGTGAAACTAGCCATGTGCTTAGGTAATTATCTCTAGTTTTATGTCTCCAAATTTCAGGGGAAACGATAATAATCCGAATTTTTTAGAATTTTTTTAGTCATCAATCCTGAAGCATTGAAATTTATAGAGCCGGACGGGAAAGTGTTTACATTTCATGAATAATCTTGTGTTCACAAGTTTCTGGGGTTGTACTACTGGTACAAGTGACTTTACATGTGCAATGATCAACCCACCTAAAGAAGGCATGCGTGGTAATTGCTATTTTCCAGAAACTTTTACAAGCATTCCTGCTTGCCATTTGGAATTCGACAACATCCTTGTAGTGACCCTAGAGTAAAGAAGAAACAAATGGCCGATTCAAACTGTTACCCATAACAATCTAAAATGTATCAGTCAGTCAGTAGGTCATGAAGGTTGGTCCGTCTTTTTCAAAACAATGGTTTCTGTGCATCTCAAGACATGCAGCTTTAATTTCACTTACAAATATCTCTGGATGTAGCTTCAGAAGAAATCTCTTTCTCTTGAAACTAAGTTTTCTAATTTTTGCCCTGAAAGAATAAAATTTACAGTAAAATAGTAATTAAATTAAAGGTACATACATGTCTGTTTTGTAAATTACATGTACCTGTAAAGAACACCACCACTTACAGCATACAATGAACTAAATGTATGTTTATTTTGTACTATTAACCAATCTGAAAAGGTCTTTCGTTCTGAAAAGTCATGATTGTTTTGGTCAGTACCAAAAATAATTCTTAAGATCTCTGAATAAGAAGGAATGCAGTATTTAAGAGTGATCAAAGGTGCTGGATGGTTTCAGTGTCAAAGAGAGATCTGACAGGGACACCAAATTAGAACAGGAAAAAAAAGATAATGTAAGAACCACAGCTTACCAGGAAAAAGTGTTGATCTTTGAGCCATTTTGAAATACTGAGACACCCATATGTGCAGCAGCAAGAAAAAGATCAACATTATCCTTATCCTACAAGGAGAAAAGAAGATAGTGGTTTCATTGTTATATCCATGTANGGGGGGGGGGAATTTATGGGATAGAGGATATTTAGAACAGATAACCTGGGATATAGACCTACATGTTAGAGTAGAAAAACTGCTAATTTCTGCAACTTAAATTACTGGGACACAGGATACAAGGCAAAAAATTAATAAGATCAGATATGAGATACTGAAATCCCCCTCTCCCAGTTCCCTGGCCCCTGATGGGACCTAATACATGGCTTGGAAGGAGAAGACAACAATAAACTTAGGAAACATGTTCGCAACCGGAACATACAGACACATGTACGTATGTATGCTGCATTTACTTCCTCTTTGTGCAGAGGTTGATGGTATTATTTCCTGTGCGTGTACATATGCTGGGGTAAACCTCATTTTGTTTCAAATAATTATAAGATGTAATGAATGTGATGATGTACAATTATTACACTGTACAATCATGTAAAATTAATGTGCATTATTAGCAAACATTGGTAGTTAGTTATTTGGCAGGACAAAAGCAGACGATACAATTTGCTACCAAGATAAAAAATCGCATTTCACAGGTGCCTGTGGAACTAGTACTGGAAACAATTTTTCTAATGGCTTCTCCTCTTTTGTTTTGTCCCCAGTAACCATTACACAGGCAACTTAAATGCTCGTTTTGAAAGAGCAAACGTGCAAGATTCTGTTAACCAATGAAAAGAAAGGACAAAGAAAGAAACTAAATGTTAAGGAATTTACCCTACACAAACAGTACCTGTGCTCTTTGTGGTAAGTTGATATTCTTTTCTCAGAATCTTGTGTCTGTATGTACAAGAAATTAAAGATACATTAGTCATTATGTTAAGACAATATACAGTACTCTACATGTACAGAATGTACCAGAAACATGGTTGGCCAAAAACGACCTGGCACTGAACTGTCATGGCTGAGTTCACTCAGACAGACAGACAGGCAGGCAGGCAGAGAGGCAGACAGACAGACAAACATTGCTGTTGCCTTATGTCCCACAGAGGACAAACAAATAGGATTAAGTAAGAAAGTACAATAATGCCCACAATTTCTTTTTTTCATAAATTTGTGCATAAATTATTCTAACTGAGCATACCTGACCAGGAAAAAATTGAAACTCTGATAAATATCCTGTTCTGCATGACATTCCTTCATAATCTCCAAGTTCCCCTACACAAAAAGAAAACTTCCAGTGAATATACCGTAGAGGACCATGTAAGAAGTTTACATCAAGTCTACAACTAGAATTGTAACTTGTTGAAACATACATTTAAAGTTTTCAAATCAGAACACTAGATGGTATTGTACGATCATGCGAGTTGTTTATACTTTTTGCATTATGTGTACACTACAAAGTTGTACCATCTACATTAAAGCACCAAAATTAAAAACTTTTCATGGGACACTCGCATGCCTGCTCACATGTACACGTTCAAGTGCAAAGTCTGCATACAAGCCAAGTGGCCCATCAGGCCGGAGCTTATCCCAGTTTCTGTAGCATGAAGCGACTAGGAGTATTTCTACTCCTCACTGGATGGGATACTAGTCCATCGCAGGGTTACCCCCAGCATTAAATTCACCAGTACCCATTTATACACCTGGCTGAGAGGTACTGTGAGAGTAAAGTGTCTTGCCCAAGAACACAACACAATGTCCCCGGCCAGGGCTCAAACCTGGACTGCTCGCTCCGGAGTTGAGCACACTAACCATGAGGCCACCGCGCCTCCAACAACACGTTCAAGTGTACAGGTGTCTAACCTGGTACAAACGCGCTGCTTCGACCCCATTGCTTAATTTTAGGTTTCTTGTTGTTGCTAAGGTACAAAAATGTAGCTCAATCTAACACATCTATTCAGAGTTTCCTTTTTACATGCACAACTCAAGAATGGGTCTTTAAGCTACATGTAAAGGCCAGAGAAAACCAGCTTACCTTGAACTATATAGGATGCCAAGAGAGCTGCTGTATTTTCTGAACATTTTAATCTGGAGTGGCAAAACAAAAATGGTGCAATGACAGATGTACAGAAAACTGATGACATTTTTCACAGATAAATGTACATGTGCATTGTAAATTTTATACCCATGCACATAATTTAGTAATATGTGAAATAGTTCTGTTGACAATGTTTGACTGGGCTGATCAACAAGAAGGTACAGACTGAAAGCAATTAACAGTAAGTGTTATGTTATCAATAAACTCTTGTTGCAAAGCACATTTATAGGACTTTAATTTCATGCTATGCTTAAAGTATTAATTCTGCAGACCAGTTGCGAGTTTTCTTGAAAAACACATCGTACAACAACCATTTTGTTTCATTTTAATGGAAATAAACTTATTTTCAAAAACAGGATTTTGCACCAGACCTTGTAATGAAACATTTGTAATAAAGTTCTCAGAAGTACTACATGTACAGTGTAGCATACTATGTAATCACATACAAATAAGGCCTATTTTGAAGCCCACGGTATTTTGACACAGATAAACAATAAAACAGACAATGGATCCTAGTAAAGAAACTTTTATTACCTTCCACTGAGAAGATCTCTTTTTATCTGTAGACCAAACAAATACCTGCAACCAAAAGATGCAGACATATATGTATATGTACATCTTAAGGTACAGTGTAAATTGAAGAACTGCTACCCAAGATGTACTCATTCATAAAAAAATCTGATTATTCCAAAACAAGTAGCAGTGTAGGCCCCAGTTGCTCAATGGATGAACTGCACATCATTCACCCTCTTGGGCTGCAAAGAAAACTTGACAAGGTTTTGAGCTTGCCCAAGTTCTACTTATGATTTACTAGCCCACAAAATAATCATTCTCACTAGCCCCTAAAACATTCATCAGTACTTACAGTACTTCCGTAATTTGAATTTCCTCCATCAAAAATTTTCCAAGCAACTCCACTTGCCCAAAGGCAAGTGACGACAGAATCCACCAGCCCCAACTGCAAAATCCTCTACCTTAGGCTATATTGGACACAACTTCCATTGCACACCCCCTTCCTCTAGATACTGGAAATTTTTTCCTCAAAAATACAGTGTAGGGACTAATTTTCAAACCAACTTTAATTTCCCTTGGAGGTTCCAGAGGTTGAGATTCCACTGCAATGTGTTTAATCAAACGATACAAGTATGTATTTAACTTTACTCAATGTGACAAAGAAAAATAAACAAATCAATGAGGCAAAGGTATGTAAGTTTGGTATACAATGAAGCAAGATATCTGAGCTATTGAGCAAGCATGAGGTCAAGATGGCTGGATATTGGCCAAGACAAGACAGAGTGGAGGTCCATAAACATGCAAAAACGACTGAGGCCAATATCCAGCCGTCTTGACTGAACAAGCTTGGTCAATAAAGGATTTTATTTTATGGCTTCAATAAATTTTTCTTGCTGAGCACAACGTGCAATCCACAGCAGCAAGACGGCACCATCTTGCCCAACCAGGTAGCC